CATCGTATAAATTACATGCCATCGGGATCTCGGGTTGTCTGCACGAATGGCTAATGAGCTACCTAACTGATATAGACGCCAAAGCTCATGAGTTGCCCAATATCCCGGAGGGGGTACTCCCAGAAAAGTTGGGTGGAGGCGTGCGGCCCACTTCCCAAAACCCTTACCCTATTTATGACCAAAATCTGCGATTTTGTTCTCCTATTTATGACCTGGCCAAAAATTCGAAACCCTATTTATGACCGTTGCAGCTGGCACAGTTGCCCTAAACATAAGTTATGAAGGGCTTTTGTCGACGGTCTTATTGATAATGACGAAAAAGTGGCTTCTTCTGAGAAACATACTCAATTTAAGTCTAGACCATACCCTATTTAAGACCAAAATGGCCAAAATCGATACCTTTGGGGCCGCACATACCTATATAGCCCACATAAGGAGGTATCCCCTGGGGTTCAATATCTGCACGGAGCCATGTCATTTTTTGATCCAGATCCGCCTGCCCCATAAGCCTCTTCCAGGCGTTCAGTTAGTTGGGGCGCAGCGCGACTGAAAACGGCGAGTGAAAAAATAGGGGAGAACCGCGCTTCTCCCCTGTTTTTTTGCTCGCCGTTTTTCGCGCTAGCCACGTCCCAACTAACCCTACCTGCCCCATTCCTATTAACCTGTGAACAGGCTCGGCTGGAAGGGTCTGGCTGCCGCTGGAACGGCCAACAAGGCGCTGGCTGAGAGTGAAGTGGCCGAGGGGAGACTCTTGTGTCCTCTTTCTTCCGGCTTTCTCTTTGCCCCATCCTCGACCAGAGAGCCTGTTCACAGACTACCCTCAGAATTTACCCCCGACAAAAAGCATGACGCTCCTTTGCCAGAAAAAGGCATTGTTCTTTCAAATCACCTCAGAATTATTCACAAGATCAAATGATGCCAGTTGTGATTTACATATTTTTCTAGCCAAATTTCTCCTTAGTGTTTACATTGGATTAGATTGGTGATGAAAATAGAGAAAATTATCAACAAGGGCACACTTTCTTAAAATGCCACCAAAATTAACTTTCTTGATTTGTCTTTAGTCAACAATTTGCTGATTTAGTTCAATGGGATAAAAATTGAAAATTTATTTCAAAATCACCGTTCATGTTCCATGACCATCAAAATCATAGCACGAAGTAGATCAAGCTGTGAACTGAATAAGCAAAAGAGGGAAGAAGGAATATTGACATTTTCTGCGCATTTTGGGGGAACATGTACGAATAAAGAAATCAGAGGAATGCTAGTCAAAGCTGAACCAACACCTGGTAAAATATCTCTCAAATATAAAATACTTAATACTTCAAACAGTAACTAACTTCATTATACTTGAAATCACTGACTGAGCCATTCTCAGTCAAGGTTTTATCGAGATTTGGAAGCCATCTTGACGATTGGCAACACGCGTCAAAATTACAGTGTTTGTATGAGAATCTAAATACTGGCAAATACTTCCCTTAAAAATAATTGAATTCTGAACAATTTATGAACAGCAGTTAAGATACTAGACAAATTGAGGGATATATTTGTGCTAGAAAGCATCCAGTCACTTCTTATTTTCTATGCATTTGTCTACAATTTTTTCCAAGAACTTGTACTTGGCTTACAAGTTCGAAATTAAGACGTAAAGCAGACAATTTATAAATTAAAACAGTTATAATACAAAATAAATTATTTCAAAGCAAAGGTAACCCAGTAGTTCAAAAAATCTGTAAATTATAGATATAAGAACCCAGAGAATTAGTTACAAATACATTTTACAACATACAAACCCCAACCAATCAAAAATAAATAAATATTAACAGAGACAGGAAAAGTTAGAGAATTGATACTATGTAGAAATGCTTACAAGAGGAATCTCATGGAATCTTCAATTTAACTTGAAAATTTAAGGTTAAATATTATTAAACCCTTTACTGCTGCTAAAATGTCCGTAAAACATTGAATAAATAGTCTAAATATTTCCTGAGAAATATGAAATGATGCTCGAGACGAGTATAGGACAATCAGAGAAAAAAGGCCTAGCTTTGAATAAATTCAAATGTACGACTCCATGCACATTCTGGTTGGGCACTCTAACAACCTTTGGCATGTTAGGTAAAGGTCTGGTAACATTATTTAGCAGCTACACAATAGGATACGGCTGTGCAAGAAATTCACATGTTTTGCAATTTTTATTGATTTTTCTCTAAGGCCAAATGACGGTATTTCCCTGTCATTGTTTACAAACAAAATTTTTCTAGCTTAATTTCTCTCTTGGCCTTATGTGCCCAAGGACATGAAGAGGATTGAAGTGAAGTTGAATTTTTCCTTACAGTGTTAAAACATTGTTAAGTAGATTGGCAATGAGAAATTATAAAGAAAAGCACAAATGATGGGATACCTTCCTAAATATTATGTCAATAAAATTAATACTCAGAACTGTCTGAAAAAAATTATCAATATTTTTTTTAACTTGTCTTTAGTTCACAATTTCCTCATTTCGTTCAATTCCATACTTAAGAACACCTTCTTTGATAGTTGCCCATGGCATACGCTTAGTAGTAAAACCCCTCCCCACCTGACCATGTCTATCGATTGCTATTGCTCCCCCCTGGCCACTTACTCCCTCAAACATTCTTTGAAGTGCTTTATCACAAGCATGGCCAGGAGGATGACTTCCTTCAATGTTGTGCACCACTTCTCTGGCCAGCATCATTTTCATGATTGATTCTCCATGCCCTGTTGTTGACACTGCACCTTCCTTGTTCGCATAACCTCCACAGCCAATCAGTGGACTGTCACCAACACGGCCAGCCATCTTCAGCGAAATTCCACCTGAAGATTAGTATTCAGTTATAAATTTCTTGTTTAATTGTTTGTTGTCAATGTAATGGCATGATTACAGCAGGTGATTCTTGAGATTCAATAACAATTTAATTTTGGGTGATTGTAGGTCAATTGCTTGTTTAGCATTTTGCACTAAAAATGGTAGAAAACACAATTTTATTTCTCACGAAAAAAGGAAGAATTCTCAACAACTTGTTACTGGATCCAGTGAAAACTTGGATGGTTTGTTTTGGAGGAAGGAACTTGCTTGGAGAACCCAGACAAAAACTATCAGTGCAAGACAACAACAAACAACAAATTAAACCCACATATGATGCCAGGTCTGCGATTTGAACCTGGGCCACTGTGGTGGGCTTTCACTACATCAGCAGGCTTGTGATCATATGGCATTACAGTGGAACCTTTTTTAATGGCCACCTCTCCACAATATCCCCTTTTATTGTACCAGCGGACAGTCCACACATTTACTCTTATTTTAACCTCTCTACAATGGCCAACTCTCCACAATGGCCAACTCTCCACAACGGTAATGGCCACTAAAACACATCCTAGCTGCCAAAATAACCTCTCGACAACAGCCAACAGCCAACAACTGATGAATGGTGTATATCAAATCCATTTTGTTAAAAAAGGTCATGAGACTTGAGCGGTACAGTGCATCTGTGGTCTCTATTTCTGTTTGGTTTGAATCTTTTTTATTGATATAAATTGTTTTGATTGTGTTACATACTTATATGCGGCAATGTTACACTTCCCGAAAAATGACA